CGCGCGCTGTTTAGGCATGTTTTGTGCCTTTGATCGTCGTCGTCATCCTTTATAAATAAAACATTTATTCATGCTTGGGTGTCGGCTGTGAATCCATTGGAGAGAAATCCCCCCCACCACTAACTGCAAACTGACATTCAGATTTGCCTCCATTTTGTTAGTAACGCCCCAACTTCCAACGATACAATCAATTCCCGAAGGACGAAATCAAGTCCCGCCCTCTCATTTCAGATGCCGTTTCACTCGGATATACGTCACAGTAGAGAAGAAAAGACAATCGCAACTTCCGTTTCATGCCGACTTTAACCCATAGATATATGTATAGAGACCCCATTCGACCGCTCCAGGCACGTAGATACGGCCGCCATCTTGGAACGGTCAACTTGTCGTCATTCACGATACTGGAGTTTTCACACAGCCGTTCTGTGCAGGATTGTGGCATCTTTCGAATATTCATTGATTACTATGGTGAATGATGTCAAGTTGACCATTAAAATATGGCGGACGGCTTACGTATAGCAGCCCATAGAATCAGTCGCTAATGAGGAATCTACGTATTTATATCTATGTTTTAACCCTTTAAAGGACAGGAACACAATACAACAATCCAAAAATACTACACAAAAAAAATCCAACAATTATCAAAATACTACACGTATATTTTTGTTCGAATGATTGATTTTATCTTTATCTACAGTTTTTGTCACATGATACTCACATTTAAATGATAAACATTTATTTAGAGGTCAGTGGCATTCTGCGCTTTCAGTGCTTTAGTCCACTATGCCATGCTTGCCATATTTGCTTATACATAACAATTGTAGGATGATGCCAGTTTTTATACAGTCTCTTGACCTAGGTTTTTGCTGGGATCCCCTTTTAATATTTTTCTTAGAAATTGGGCCTCAGAAACCATTTAAGGGTTAAACCGTTTTTCAGATTGTTCCGTCTGTCATGCACACTGTCATCTACTGTCTTTATGAATAGTTGTTCAGTGGGAAATTCAGAATGATGTTTTTCTTTAGAAGTGCCAAGGTCAAGAACAAATTAAATCCCTGTCTTAAAATAAACTGCTGGTCATAGTCACAGACTACACTTCTGTTTGATTTCTTAGACTTTAGTATTTCTCAGAGTTCATTGTTCACAGAAACTTGAAAATGATTTTATCTTCAAGAATAACATTGAATAGTGATCATTAAAGAGGATATAACTCTGAACTTGAGGTTGTTTTTTTCTATACTTTGCTAGCTTGCCCTTTTCTTATAGTACAGAAAAGCAGTTACTGAAAGCATTAATTCACAAATATTACTTTTTTGCACAAACCTTTGGGTGTTGCCTAATAAGTGGGTATGTCCCTGAACCTGTTACATTTACACACTCCTCTTCAGCTGTGGAACTATGCTATGTGATGATATAAAGTATCTGACACTATATTGTATTGGCTCTAGCCACTTAATAGAGACTACAAAAAATATCTGGAGAAGCAATATAAATATATAAAAGAAATAATCAATACTATCTATTCTAGACAGCCATCACTCATCATGACCTGCAAAAAAAAAATGCCATTTCCTGTTTTTGCAAAGCAAGTTTGAAAACAATGTAGCAAGATGAAGAAATTTAGCTTATTGCCTCCAAAATCAGTCTGCCATCTCTATCATCAGTATGACCTTTTAACAGACTGCTTGCCAAGTGTAGCCATGGGTGGACTGACAATGTGTGGGGAATTTAGCTTCATGCTGGTAAAGCAATGAGCCTGTTCCTAAATGGTGTGAAAGTCCTGAGATGCCACAGGAAGACTTCTGTATTATTTAGTGTAGTAGATGGTATTATCACTCAGCCACGGGTATCATGTAACTGTGGAAAGACTTTCAGTAGTACCTTAAATAAAATCAAAGCAGCCTGCATTATCCTCAAGCTGTGAAACCAGTTAATGCTGTTGGCCTGTCTGGTGTGTTTTTAAGGATTGGACACAGTCTTGTTTATCCCAGATTACTCAGAATAAGGAAATGATTGCACCTTGCAAGCATAAGCAAACGGATGTCCTGACCTCTTTTATCACCTCAAACTATGCTGAAGTTTTGTGTTTGATAGTCTAGGGGGTTTTGTACATCTTTTTGTATCGATTCTGTCATTGTCTATAAGTGATTAAATCTTAAATGAGGAAACAAGGATGTAGGAAGTTTTTTATTTTTTTTTGTTGACTTCGTTTTTTTTTTTTATTATTAATTTTTTGTTTTTATTTATTTAATCTTACATTTATGCTTCCATTGAGAAAGACAATACTAAGGTCTTTTTTCCCAGTAAGTTGTAAACTGAGACACTAGACATTCTCTAAAGCAAATGGCAGTGGTCTTTACTAAAACCACAAAAAGTGATTTTTTTTATGAGTAGGAAAGACTGAGGACTCCATAGGGTGCTTTTATTTGATCCACCCTCTATTCTCAGCGAGTCTGTCCTACACCCCACCCATATACTGAGATCTTGTGTGTCTTGTATAACCACTCTTTATGTCACTCTGGTTATGTCCTTCTAGTGCTAAACTGGTTTCTCATAATAAGAGATTTTGGCCCTGCTTTGCTGGTTATCTCCATCCGGTATTCAAATGAAGGTGGGGTCTAAGATTGATGATCGTTTTAGGCATAATTTGAATGACTGTTCTAACTTTCCTTTTTTTTAATAGGCAATAAAAAATAGAGATTTACTGACACCAGGGGATTTTTAAAATGGTTACCAACTCAACAGATAGCATGATACACAAATATATATATATATGAATATAGTTTGAATAGGAAGTGATTTTCAGTGTGTCTATAATTGCTGTTAATATATAACCTGTATAGCATAGTCAGATTCTGTTCTGTTCTCTCATCATTTACACACCTTCATAATGTTTGAAACACATATGATTTTCCGCCTTGGAGCAACAAAGGAGATCATTTGCATAATGTCCATATTTTCATGTGCTTTGCGGCCAATCATGATGCACAATGTTTAAATGAGCACAAGTGTGATTGAGACTTAGTTATAAAAAAAGAACGAAATTTTGTATGGCCGTAAGTTATTTCATAAAGGCTTCCAATGATTTGGATGCATTTTTGGTACTGTTTATTATGCTTTTTTTGGTCTTTTGGAGCTTAACAGCCTCTGGTCACTGTATGCCTTTTGTTGTATGGTAAAGCGCAGGATCACTGTCAGAAATAATGTGAATAAATTGGGGCCTATAAAGGACAACTTTGTACTTCATCTACCCCTAAGGTGCATATTATATGTATGCTTATGGTACTATAAGTCTTTTAGGGGTAAATAAGGTATACAAATATCCCTTTGAGTGTACTTTGAGTGACAAGTTGTTCTATTCCTAAAAGTACAGTTTTTGCGATTTTAAAGGATGTTGGATATTCTGCCTAACGTTTCTTTTTGTTAAATATGAAAAGGAGTTTTTTAAAACAAATGGTATTTCTTCCAGTTTCACAGCCAAACAAACTTCCTTTCAACATAGATCCCTTAATCCATTCATTAATTAAAAAAAAGTCACTAGCACAAACATGTTGACCAGTTGCCTCATTTTGATTAATATAATTTCCATCTTGCTCAATGAAAGGATTAAACTGATGTGATACAGAATTAACTTCTATGATTGGTCATTATGGACCTCTGTTTACAATGCCTATAACAAGTATCTCAATTCAAATAATTTTACAACTAAATTATATGAAATGTGTTTTTATTAGGCTTTCTGCCAATCAGTAATTCATATATTTTATCTTTTATATATTTGGGCTTTGCTGAAGGGCTCTTTTTCCTGCTGATACATCTTTTTTAACGTATAATCAGTCTAAATAAAGGATGTTTGACTTTACTAAAAGGATGTTGTGTTTTAATCTCATTCTTACAGAACCAATGTTGTGATGAACTATACAGAAATTGAGTCTAAAGTTCGAGAAGCCACCAACGATGACCCGTGGGGACCGTCTGGACAGTTTATGGGGGAGATCGCTAGGCAAGTGGAGGGGATTTTGATGCTTGAACTTATGTTTGTATTTGTCAGCAGTTACACATACTTCCAATATGAAGAGTCTCCTAAGCTTTTCTTATTTTTTGTTTAATTTCAGGGCTACATTCATGTACGAGCAGTTTCCAGAGGTAATGAACATGCTGTGGACTAGAATGTTGAAAGACAACAAGAAAAACTGGAGAAGAGTTTACAAGGTATGCTTTACTGATGACGGTATAGGACTGAAATGGTTTTGTTTTGCTGTGATCTGTCATGAACTTGACTGTCCTCTCTACCTCAGTCTTTATTGCTGCTGGCGTACTTGATCAGAAATGGATCTGAACGGGTTGTTACTAGTGCAAGAGAGCACCTGTATGACTTGCGTTCAATTGAGAGCTATCATCATGTAGGTGAGTGAACTGCGCAAAAGCTTTTATTATTATTCATCTGTCATATACACTGTTTGATGTCTCTTAGATACTAGGATGAATGGGCTTTGTGTTTCAGATGAGAATGGCAAGGACCAGGGTGTCAATGTGCGTCAGAAGGTGAAGGAGATGATAGAGTTTGTTCAAGATGATGACAGATTGAGAGAGGAGAGGAAGAAGGCAAAGAAAAACAGGGACAAGTATATAGGCGTGTCCTCTGACAGTATGTCGGGCTTCAGATACTGTAAGTTCCTAACTTTCTCTCTTTCTTACTTGTGTGCACACACACACACACCATTCTCGCTGTCATATTTATCAAGGTTTGCAAGTTGTTGTTTTTTTACATCACACAAAAATACATTTATCATAAGGAATATATCTAATCGGGAAACAAGTAGGTCCTCTGTCTCCTCTCCACTGTTGTTGTCCCTGGGGGGTTTGCATTGCCAGATAAGTGAACTGTACTGTAGATTTATTTTGATACCCGGCATAGCTGCGTTTTCACATGACAGCATAAATTATGTTTTCGATGTCCTTGATTGGGAAGGAAAAATGCAATGCGTTATTTGTAATGGCAATTTTAGATTTAACTGGTATCATGTTTAGTTTGACAGTCGTTTCGCTCTAAAGTTTAATGAAACTTGATATATATGTCTTTTATTGTGTTTTTTAGATGGCGGCCTGCAAATTTATTCAGTAATGTAACCACAGTCCAATCACTGTTCTTATTTATGAAATATACCCGAGAGGAAGCATCTTAGCCTGATTTTACTTCTCTTTACATTGACATCAAATTAGTGGGCGAATCTCAACCTGGGTCATATTTCACCCCACCCCTGGAAAAAAAGAAATTATATTTTGCATAACAACATTAAGCCTCTTTTTAGTACCAGTTCTTGAATTATTTTCACGACAATTAAACACACCCTTATAAACAGTATAATCAACAAAAAAGAAACTGGTATATTAATTAAATTAACTATTTATTATTACTTCATGGTAATATTTATCATCCTGCCTTTAATTTATGATAATTAAGTAATTAAATTCTAATGAGAGCCACTAACCATAACCATTAAGAATAATGAAAATTACAAACAACCTCTGAAGTAAAACATCCAACTGCATGACAGTAATTAAAATAGGTCTGAAAATGTGTTTAATTTATCAATGAGCTTCACCTTTTTTTTTCTTCGCAAAATGCATTTTTTTCCCTCTGATTCTAATAACCCAGATATGTTTTTGTGGGATTATCTCTTTTATTCCTTATATTTCCATATACGAGTTCTAAATGAAGTTTGACTGTATAATACGTGTATATCGCATAACACATTTCCTGTCCTGTTTATGCATTCTGCAGCAGAGGACAAGTTTGATTTTAGAGAGTCACGTTCCAAATGGGATGAAGACTGGGACAAAAGCAAGGGGGCTTTCCCTTTCAGTGACAAACTGGGAGAGATCAGCGATAAGATCGGAAGCACCATTGATGACACCATCAACGTGTTCCGCAGAAAAGACCGGGACGACTCGCCTGACAGATTCAGGTCAGGACCCCCAGGCCGACTCACTTTCCCCTCTCAGATTACCTGGAAACTCCTATTCTGCAAAGTCTTCTTTTGTTTTTTTGAAACACAAATAGCAGAAATGTTATAACTAATTATATGAACAAATTGTTGACAGTTGTGTCATGGACTGATTGTGTTATATCTACTTATTCTCAAAGAAAGGAAGCTTTTTGTTAGTGATCATACATAAGCTTATGCTTTATCTTCTCTGTATAGTGAAGGAGATGAGGACCGTCGGAGAACGCGAAACGGGCAGTCGGGGAAATCAGAATTTAAAGATGATGAAGAGACAGTGACAACCAAAAGCGTCCAGATCGTCCAGGCCACAGAGACCACTGCCACTCGTAAGAGAGGAGGCATTCCCTCCAAAGCGATAGACCTGGGAGCAGCTGCAAATTACACTGGCGATAAACCCTCCACCAACACAAACACAAGCCAGGTAGATGAGAGAAAAACAAGCTACAGTACCAGCACTAGTCTTTTCCTGTTTAATTAAACCTCTCTGGCATTTGGACACATCGATAATGCAACTTTAAGGAGAGATTTGTTAATAAATTGTGTGAAAAGAAATGGTAAACTTGTATTTAAAGGGGTCATATGATGCGATTTAAATTTTTCCTTTCTCTTTGAAGTGTTACAAGCTCTTGGTGCAAGTTGCAAAGACTAAAGTCTCAAATCCAAAGAGATATTCTTTATGTAGACTCTACACTGACATCTTGTGGTTGCTCTTATGAGTGTTTCAGTTTGTCCTTTCTTTGTTGGCATAGACCACATCAGCAGTGAGCCAGCCCAGTTCTGGTCTGGTGGACTTGTTCTCGGCAGATCCTGCACCTGCTCAACCAGCTTCCCAAGGTAACAATAGTAACATGCATCCTCTTTGGGTTTCTCTAAGTTAAGAATATTTTGGTGGATCTACAGTTTTGGCTGAGGAAAATATTATAGAATGTCTTTTTTTATTTAATTTATTTGATTTGTGGTTCAGCACTACCTCAACACCTGGACATGCAACAACATTTCACTTTAGAATGCTTAGGAGAAGTTATATTGACGGGTTCGTCCCTAAAGGAAGTAGGTTGCACTGTTCTGCCACCTTTCGCAACAGTAAAAATAAATCCCAAGAGTGCTTTATGTTCACAAAACATCAAGTATCGCCCAGCGGGCTTACAGAAAATACGAAGGAGTGGGACATTCATAGCAAGCAGAATGAATCTTACAATGGACTCAGACACTCCGTCAACGAAGTACTGAACTTGTCATAAAGAACACTGATGCATATTAGGAGTCATTTACATAAGGTAAACATTTCCGTCAAACTACTGTTCTGGTCAGATACTAATGAGTAGTTGTGCATGCCATAGTTGGATATACATGAAGAATGGATGAGGAGATAAGTCAAAGTAGCAGGAAACACTATGCCATTAGTTTGGCAGTATGGACGTAAAGGGAGGTGCGCACAGTGAAGTTTAGCATATGCGCTCTCCTGCACTCCTGCTGCCTGCTGAAGCATTTAGTCACCGGGGCCAGATGTCAAAGCGTTCCCTGGTGAGTGTGTAGTGCTGAGCAGATGCGTAGATCTCTCTCCTCGCTGTCTTGCTCCCTCCACCACCAGCCAAACAGCTGCATCTGTCCTCCTCCACATAACTCCAGCCACAGGCTGCTGGAATGTAACGTGACCGGAGTGTGTGTGCCCCTCACAGACTCCAACAGATGTTCCTTATTCTGTGTTCTCCATTTTTGTCTTTTCCTTAGGATATTAGTAGGGGATTGATAGGTTTCACAAATCTAGAATGTCATAATTGAATCTCTCTCTTTCGTTCTAGGTTCAGGCTCTGACCTGATTGGAGGTTTTGCTGATTTCTCTTCTCCTGCAGCTGCATCCAGTCTTCCATCATCAGCTGGTATGTTTATATAACCTCTGAACACACCATCAGGTCAAAAATACAACCTGAAATTCTTGATTATTTTTACTTCTACTTACAACAACATATACATCTGTTCAAAAATTTGGGGTGAGTTTTTTTTTTTTAAATACATTTTTACCAGGGACATTAAATTTATCAAAAGTGTCAGTAAAGACATTTACATTTTTACAAAAGATTTCGATTTTAAATAAACATTGTTTTTTTTAAACGTTTTTATTTATCAAAGAAAAAATGCATTACGGTTTCCACAAAATTATTAAGCAGTTTTCAACATTCATAATAAGAAATGTCTCTTGAGCACCAAATCAGCATATTAGAATGAAGACTGGAGACACTGAAGACTGGAATAATGGCTGCAGAAAATTCAACTTTGCAGGAATAAGGTACAGGAATAAGTTAGATTTAAAATGTATTTAAATAGAAAAGTTATTTAAAATTTTAAACAAGTATTTTAAATAAATTATAAAACTTCTCAATATTAGTCTATTTTTGATCAATCATTGTTGAGCAAAAGAGACTTACCTGCCCCAAAATTTTGAACAATAGTGTGTTTTCTAATTGACTCACCAATTAATTGGTTTTAAGAAAACCCTATATAATTGGGTGGGTTTTGTGTTATATGACCCCAGTCAGGTGTTTCTCAAGGCAGTTTAAATAAGACGTTCAAAAACAGCTGAATGTAGTGCAGTTGAATGGAACAGAGCACTAGGGTCTCATGACACACTTTTAAACTTAAGATAAAAAAAAAGCAATGTCCAAAGATGTCTGTCTGAATGTAGCAGCATGGGAAGAATTTAAACACACAATTACTCTGAGAAGGTTTTACCGTGCAATCTGTCTTAACAGTTAGAACTGCCAATATTTAAAGCACCACCACAAAATAATATTAGAAGTAGTAACCAGAAAATCTAGATACATTTGTTGAAGTTAGTAATCGATTAGTTGACCATCACTACCCTATTATTATCCCTAATATACTGTAAGTTATGTTCTTTAAAAGATATGCAACTCCAAGAGAAACTAATAAAGCCTTGCTTGCTTTTGCCAAAAGACTCTGTATTTTTTTTCTTCTTCTAATTAAACTCACATGTTAAAATAAAAGCCTTAAGGGAGTGCAACTTGAAAGACACAAAGTGATGATATGTGTGTTTTTATATGGATATTTAAATATAGTTCTGGGAATATAACAGAAGGCTGTTTGTTTTTTCTGCTGGACCGGAGTTTGCCATCCTCAGCTGCCTGTTTATGAAATACTCCAAGCAGAAAGCTCTTAAATAGTGAAAGGAGGGGGCTGCCATATGGTGGGCTGCTGTGCTAAAAGCTAATGAGCACAGACACATTTCAGCTCTTGTTGGGTGTGACATGTCACCCTCTGCATTTTTGGGACTGAGCTGAAGTGACGGAGAGTCTGTGATTCTTTTTGATGTTCATGCATCTTCAGTGCCCTAATAGTTTCATTACTGGTTCTCTTGCATTTCTTTAGTTTGTTGTATTGCTCATTTACATGCAGATGCACATCTTCTGCTGGATGATAAAGCCTAACATGAAGCCAGATTGTGGAATTTGTGCAGTAAAAGCACAAATATGTCTTTTGATCAAAAAGCTTCGTAACTATTACAACTTCCGTCTATGTTTACTGTGCTCTCTATAATGTTTGTGCTTCTCTGTGTTTCAATTCATCAGAAGCTTTTGTGTTTTCTCAGCCCCAGCGTCTAGTGGGAATGGAGACTTTGGTGATTGGAACGCTTTTCCTGCAGCCCAGACAGCCGTCCCTGCAGCTCAGCCTGTTAACCCTGCAGGAATAGACCTTTTCTCAGGTCTGCAGGCGGCCCCTGCCCCTGCATCCACAGCACCCTCATCCGACTTCTTTGACCTAATGGGCTCCACTCAGACCACTAACTTCAGCACCTCCCAAAGCATGAACTTCTCCATGACCACCTCTCAGACCATTGGCATGCCAACGTCCAAATCACAGGTGCCTACTGCCTTTGAGAATTTTCTAACTATATATTTTTGAGGAATGAGTACTTGATATCTTCTATAATCATGTTTTTTAGATCAAGGCACCTTGAAATGCTTTGAAGAGCCCAGTTTTCTTTGTATGTTCTCATCCTTAATTTTATTAAATGAATTTTTACGCCCTTGCATTAAGGATGGGCCATCAGTATTTTTGATTCATTTTCTGAGGAGAGAAATATGATTTCCTTTTTTGAAAAAAATGAATAGTTAATAATTTAATAATAATAAACAGTAAACATTTATAATCTAAAAAAAAATCTTTCAAATAAATGCTGTTCTTTTGAACTTTATTTATCAAAGAATCCTAAAAAATCATGGCTTTCCACAAAAATATTAAGCAGCACAGCTGTTTTCAGCATTGATAAGTAATAATAATAATAATAATAATACATTTTTCTTGTCCAGCAAATCAGCATATTAGAAGGATTTCTGAAGCATCATGTGACACTGAAGACTGGAGTAATGACTGCTGAAAATTCAGCATTTCCATCACAGGAATAAATTACATTTATTCATTTAGAGACTTGTATAAAAAAAAACAAAGCTAAACTTGTGCACAAAAATAACAAATAAAAGCCACAAAACATTTGATTATGAAAGATTTTGATTGTGCCGTTGTATATAGTGTAACTTGCAAACGAGTGCCTATGCATTTCATTAGGTGTTGCACCTATCATAGACTTTTGTGCATTGCCGTCCCTCAACATTGTTTACAGCACAATAAAAGAATAAAGATGAAACCAAGTGATGTAGAGTTGCACATAGATAATGTGGTTTTCATTCAGATCCCCCATCTGTGGAGTACTAAATGCAGCTCATCTAAGTGGAACTGCACACTAAACACTATTTACGCAAGAAAAGACTATTCTGGCTGAGGTTCAGAGCCAGCGGTTTAGAGAGCAGGCAACATGAAAGTGAAACGATCGAGGGTTAACACGCAGCATCGGCACAATTTTCCACCCACCCCCTCCTCATTACCCATCAACCCCAGTCCCCCTGGGACGCCCATCACAGAGAATGGCAGAATGAGGAGGAACAAGTTTAAGTCAGAAAACCATTAAATTGAAACAAAAGCCTTGCACAAAGATAATATTTGCATGCTAAAAGCCTGACCTACTTTAAAATGGCAAGTTTTGTTTGGCTAAAGAAAAAAGCAGCCCCCCGATGGTATAATTAGAGGGACTTGAGATGCATTTTTACATGCTGAAATAATTTTAGGAGAAGACAATGCCTTTCAACCAACATTTCTGTCTTGTTTAACTCAAGAGTCTTGATAACCCTGAAAGACCACAGTGTAATGTTCTGGAGTATTAATAGTGCCTTTCATCTTCTCTGACTTGTGTCATTCTGCCATTGGCAAACATTCATGGTCATTGGGGAATTTTAATTATCATGCTTGAACTGCAGCAGAGCAGTATCATCTTAGCAAAATCAGAGAAAACATTGTGTTTGATCGTATGGATACTATCATATATGGTTTGTTCTAAAACTGATTTGATTTTCTTTGTCTTTGCAGCCACTTCAGTCAATGGGGAGCCCACTGATGCCCCAGCAACCGATGACCCAGAAGCCCAATCCCAAAGCCTCTTTGCCTTCCACCTGGTCCAACTCTAATGTAGACATAAGCCTGGACTACCTTGGCCCTGGCATGCATCCACCCAAACCTTCTCAGCCCACACTCAGCATGATGCAGCAAGGTAAGCAAAGATACCGATGTCTGCAACAAGATAGAATCTGGAGTTAAGAAAATTAATGAGCTCAAAAGAATTCAAACAATTAGTCTATTTGAGGAGTGGAGAAAATTAGTAACTATTCTAACAAAAAAAATATAACAAATGAAAATATAAATGTATAGAGGTGTAATACTATTATAACATAAAAGTACAATAGTAAGTGCAAACTAGATTCTGATACAAAAACATGACATTGTTCTCATGACACTTTGTGAATACTGTTTCTTTTTTAAAGGGTGCTATATAACGCTTAAAAGCATAAAGCTATATCCATGTTTATGAAATTTGACTAAAATCAAGACTATTACTATTAGAGTTTAAAACCCTCTTTTTGTGTTTTTATATTGTCATATTTTTCCAAATAAGTAATAAAAACAGTTACACTACTGTTCAAAAGTTTGGGGTCTGTAAGTTTAAAAAAAAAAAAATTTTTATTCAAATATTAAGCAGCATATCTGTTAACAAAGCGGTATAGCAGTTTTTATCGTTGTTAATAATAAATGTTTTTTGAATAGTGTAATAGATTAATATTAAGAATATTTGTAAAATGACTGTTCTTACTGTATTTCTGATCAAATAAATGCACCTTAAAACATTTTTACAAATCTTACTGACCACAAACTTTTTAACTATAGTGTATAAAAAAACATGTAACACATTTAATCAGTTTTACATTTTATATGACAAAATAATTCAACATCAAAAACTATAGAAAACTATAGATTTTGATTATTTTAATAAATTGGCAGCCTTTATTTCCCCCCCCCCCTTCTCTATTTATCCTGCAATAGGAGTTCAGACTCCTGTGAATATGATGACTCAGGGCTTTGCTGGAATGAACCTGGGCATGCAGTCTGCTCCTACAATGGTCAGACCGCCCACCAACACCATGATGGGAGGAATGAACATGGGCATGCAGCCTGGCATGACAGGTAACACCATGCCCATGCCAACCATGGGAGGGATGCCAGTCAATCAGGGCATGATGGGAATGAATATGAACATGGGAATGTCCACAGCTCAAATGGGGATGCCAGGAGGCATGGGCATGGGTACGGGAATGCCGGTCATGGGCATGAACCCTGCCATGGGACAGCCTAAACAAGATGCCTTTGCAGATTTTGCCAACTTTGGGAAATGAACTGCAGAGTATTAAGTGAGCAGTCCTTCTTTAGATGTGACCATGAAGAACCTATGAAGAGCTAGAAGACAAAGACTACTTGAAAGATGTCAAATAAAGCCACGCAGGAAATGTCTGTTTAAATGATGCTCATGTACAACTGGATGATTATATTCTTTTCAATGTTCTTCTGATCAGCTGTACCAAGGAGCCCTATCGAGGGTGGCTGGTTTGTGCTCAGAATCATTTCAGTCATTGCACACGCACGTCCTACGTTTCCATTGTGTCGGGATATCACTTTAAGCAATGTGATGATCGTGAATGACTCCGGTTGACTTTCTCCTGTCACGTAACTTCTTAATTTAACCCAGGAAGTATTGGGTTCCTAATACTGTAGAAAAATCCTAACGATCAATTCTGGCCTTTCCTCTACTCTGCCTTAAGATGATAACCTGTAAATATTTTTGCGAGCAGACAATAAGTTATTGAGTTACAAGATTAATTAATTATGATGGTGAGGATTTTTGTATGGAGTAAAGTTTGTGATCACTTGCCATTTTTGTATTAGATTTTTATTCAAATCACCATTTTCTGAAGAGAAATGAAGTACTCAAACATCAAGATGATTGAATGACGATTCCAAATCAAAACCTTTGTGGCCTTAAATAGTTAAAGTCTACTTTTTCAATGAAAATCTGATCTACTTTGCATCTTTATGAAAATGTAAAATCTGTCCTTAAAACACATGGTGCCTGTCAGTCTCTTGCCTTTTTTTTCTAAAAAAAACAAACTCTTAGGACGATATGAAAAGTACAGTATTTATTAAAGGTACTGTTAAAGAAGATATATATCTAGTTGAGTACACAAGTGCACATTTTTTTATGTTTTTGCATGGATATAAGGAAGAGTTTGGGTGACTAAAAGGATTTTATGTATAATTGAACCTGATACGGGTTCGTATTTTTATGCAGTTCTGCTTATGCTGAGTGTAAGTTGAGGCTGTGTGTTTGTAAAGCCTGGTAGCAAACAGTTGGATGCTGTATCCAGAGGACCATCACTGTATTGTCAAGATCATCTGTTTTTGTCCACAGTGTCCACTTAAGTTAACTAAGCCCCTCTCTTCCAATCTGAGGCTTTTTACAAGCAAAATGACCAAATTCTTCCTTGTTTCTTTTTTTCTGAAGGGTTGGTTTAGGTTTTTGTAGTCAGATTTGTTGGGTTCTGTGGGATCTCAATTATTGAGTTGTTAGGGGTTAGGGAGTGTTAAAGGAAACACTATATGTTTATGCAAATCTACAGCAAGCAACAAAAAGCTAAATCTTCCACTGAGAATGTTTAATGTTTTCAGTTTCATACAATGACTTGATTGTACTTCTGATCTTTAATGAATGACAATAAAGATTTGATTTCCATTTTCATTGTGAAGCTTGTTGTTTTTATCTCCTCTAATCAATCTCATGTCTTAAAAATAGTCTGTTCTTAGAACCCTCTTAGGACCTGACTCCAAACGTTAACTTTGCATGCTTTAATATGATGAAAGCAGCACAGCCACATGTCCCATTTTCACTGGATCCTTTGCCAGTGAACTTTTTAATTGGCATAAAATTAATAAGTCATTTTGAGAAACTTGAGCTTAATACAGGAAAAGGAAACTGGCCACAGTTCTGGTGTTTATTTTGTATCTTTTACACGCGCGCACACACTATCACACATATATATATATGTTCAGTACATGATGCTATACACTATCATGTACTTCAGAGTAGTCACTATGTCCATCTGTACACGTGTTCCCCAAGCTGGAGCCAAATGGTGATTTTACGAATATGCAACAAAATGTAGAACCTTTCCTCATAAATAAATAGTGGTAAAGATGCTAAGAGTTTTTATGAATAGGTAAAGCTGTGAAAGACAATTTACATTTCTAGTTTTCTAGTAAGTAGTCTATACTATTTTGCTGGAAAAAGAAACTATTTCTTTACTAGGTTAGGATTCTTTGTTTGACTCATTCTTTACTAGGTTCAGTCATTTTTGAAGGTGAATACAACTAGAGCAATTTGACCAGCAATTACCGTTTAAAGCATAAATATCTGTAACCATGATAGAACACCTTCAAACAACAATAGGAGGAATGATTCAAGTATTGTATATGGACACGTGACGAAGTAAATCACATTGGAAGACTAAGATTTTTTAAAAAGTTAAAAGTTTTTCATATTTCATGAGGAGAGTAATGTGTATATGGCTAATATATGCAGTGAGGGAAAAATAACACTCAAACATGTCAAGACAAAAAGCCTTGAGCACTACATGCAATTTCCAACAGCTCAAATAACCCATTTATACTGTTTTTTTTTTTTAATCCACGGAGACCCAACTGCATTTTTTTTTTTACACTAAAAGAGGTAAATGTCTAAATAGAAAATACTGTTTGACATGAAAATAAGAGTGTGTATTGGCTGGCAGTTTTAGTGGGGTTGACAGATTGACTTTCATTTTAACAGAACAGTGAAGTGAATATCAGCAAAGCTGTCTTAAATATATTGCCATTTCCCCTCTGATAATTTGTTAAAATACAACAAAATTAGACTCGATGTGCAATGTTAATGCTTACAGTGTATCAGTGTCTTACTTCCCCCTAGTGGTCATTCAAAGCAAACACAAACAGCGTGCGTTGAGTATGTGACCTTCACTCATAAACAACAACCAACCACAATTAATAAGAGTTCATTTTACTCAGCTTTTAACATATTATTTTCATCTGTTGATATACATATCAATATGATACACTCATTTTACAAAACATTTCTGGGTGATCTCCATAAAAAGTAAACAAAACACATATTTCATCTGGCTAGTCTTTAGTCCTGCTGTATGTTCACAAGAAGAACGTTTTCTCCTCGTATAAAAAGCTGATTGACATGACGTGTGTGCACTCTTCCATACTCCACTTTAGGCTTGGTTTCAGACTTTTGTGTCGCTTTTAATGTGGTCTTGTCTTTCTCAGAGTGTTCAGATCTCTCCTGGGTATGTTTGGGGTCGGTTCTCCTGGTTTGGTCTGTGAGATGAGATGAACTACTGTGTAGCTCTGACTTCATCCCAAACGCGCTGAGAGCCACGGTCTCTTGAACTTTTAATTTTTCAAATAGCTGTAATAGAAAATTAATTGAAAGAGATTTATAAAGCAATATAATTACATTGAAGAGTATTAAAAAATGCCAGCAAAAATATGATTTAAAAATTCTTCAGTGTAAAGCACAGTGTAAAAAAAAAAATAAAAAAGCTAATTTTTCTATTTAATATTTTTTAAATCAATTTTAGTTGTGATTAAGGATTAATTACTACTAGAATATTCAGATATATATTCAAATGATTCACCCTGGTGACAGTAAGTGCTTTCTCATGATAAAGAGCTTGTCCCAGAAGTGGCTCCCTGTATGTTTCATCCACATCCACCATTGCCTGGCACCAAACGGATCAGCAGAATAAAAAAGACAAATATTAATATTTAATAATGATTATTATTAATGATAATAAATGTAAAGGTGATTTAATACTTGCCAGGTTCCAAAACTTATCAAATGCCACCACAAAGCCAGAACACACTCCTCGGAGCCCTTTAAAGGTCCGGATGTGAACTTTGACTCTGATTTTCTCCTGAACACATCTGTTCAGCTCTCCTAATGGACTGCCTGTGTGCACTGGGGGGGAAAAAGATACAGAGCCTAGTGAGCAAACTAGATTTTTTTTTTTTTTGTGATTAAACAGTTCAGTGTTTACTATCGTCTTGTGACCTAGACAGCAAAGGCAGAAACATACGTGGCATTCTGGTAAGCACATTTTTGGCCGCTTTTCGCTGTCGAGGCGGTCGCTTGACTCCGCTTCCCTCTCCCTCCTCCTCAACCGGGTTGTTTACCATGAGTCTCTTCAGCCTTTCTATCCTCTCTGGGTCTGCTTTACCCTTCTGTGCTTTTCGGAGTCTTTTCTCCACGTTTTCGGGTTTCGCTCGGCCTCGACCACCTTTCATGAAGCTCTCATATTCCGCGATGTTATTAAAGCACTTGATATTGGGGTAAGGCAATGGCACTTGTGGGGAATACAGAGCGAGCAGAGGGTCAAACTTATCCGAGCTGATGTCCAGCTTAGTTTCGATATCATCTTCGTCAGTTTCTAGTTTTTGTCTGCGGGTCTCGGTGGTGGTTTGCTGGTCAGATGTTTGGGAAGGTCCTGAAAGGCGCTCATTTTCTGACTCTCTCTCACCCTCCTCCATTTTTGAATGAGCCGCAGACTGCGGAGAATCATGGGTAACTTATCAGTGTGAAGCCACCGATGAAAATGTTTCCTGTCAAAGTCACTAGTACAATATAAAATATGCCAGTTTACTAATAGGAAGTCTTAAAAAAGACTTTTACTATTTGTAATTATACTATTTTTATATATACTTAAAACTAAAACCATTAAAAATGTTACTTGAAATAAAAAACGTTAACTGAAAAGTTTCTTTTAATTAAACGTATTTTACTTCAGCTAGTTTCCAAGTCAAATTTAATTTAACGGTGTATTAAAATAACTAAAACGAAAACTGAAAATATAATTAATAAAAACTATTTAGATATGTTAAAAAACAACAATAAAATGTCAAAAATGCGCAACAGTATTACTACAGCTTTGACTAAAATTATAAAAAATAAAAACTAATTAAAATATTAGTAAAATCTATATTATCTCAGTTTTACTAAATTAACACTGATTTGTAAGTAACTATTTATATGACCCCCCCACTCCTGTTTTTCTGTTTTTATTAGGGAGGTGTATTATCCTCATCAATTATTTTTCACAATGTTCTATTCAATAAGCAGATTGCTAAAGACTTAAATTTTAATTAAGTAACAATAATGATGATGGTTATTAAGATGATAACAATGATATTATTATTATTTATAAATAATATTATTATTGAATTAAGTATTATTATTTTGTGTATTTTAAATTTTTTACTATTATTTTTAATTCTACTTATCTAAATCTTATTTCTATTTTCTTGGCTATGTATGTGTGTGCTCAGAGCAGATTGGAAACCACTTGTGTGTTTGTGGATACTTTTGTTACCGCTTCCGCATTCGTTCTCCTCCTCGTCAATAGGTGGCAGCGCACACTCGCACATACAAACGGAACGTACTACACGTAGAAGCGTGTGTTCGTAATGTATTGTTCTAAAAGAAAACATTGCCGTATCGTGTAAATGTAGTTTTTTTTTTTTACATATTAGAGAATAAATATACCAGATGCTAGAAGGATATGTGGCGCTGCTTTCGATTTATAGTACAGTGCTCCGGTGAAAGGTTGGTGTAATAACCTATACTAGAAATATGCTGTGTGAAGAATACCAGAAGATGAGAAATCCGTTTGTATTGCTTCAAGATTTAATAAGCATATGAATTTACTGGAATCGTGAATAACTGTCGATGTCAAGAGAATGTCAGTGGACATAAACATGTTGGTGCTACAAAAGATCTGATGTTACAGTGGACCTGGGGACTTTGTCAGCACTCTGGACATTTCTGTAAGAAACATATCTTAACAAAAAGTACATTCTAATATTATAAATTATATTTATGATATATTATGATGATATACACACTGCATAAACTATATATTAACAGTATACCACGGCTCTATTTTTACTAGGTTGTCAGTGGAAATGGAGTTTCCAGGACATAGTCAGCAACTCTTGGCCAGCCTGCGCTCTCAGCGTCTACAAGGTTTCCTATGTGACTGCACTGTGCAGGTCGGCCCGACTCGTTTCGGAGCCCACCGTGCCGTGTTGGCCTCTTTCTCCCCTTTCTTCCATATGTTTTACTCCGATCAGTCAATGGGGAATACCAGCACAATCAATGGAGGGCCACAGAGAGACACAGTCACTATTAATGGAGATATCGTGACCCCACAAGCCTTTGGGCTCCTCCTTGACTTTATGTACGAAGGGGTTCTGCGATTAGCAGCCCACCCCCCTCCAGAGGACGTGCTCGCCGCAGCCAGCTTCCTACATATGAATGACGTGGTGCGAGTGTGTAAGAGAAGACTGCAGGGTCGAGGATTGGCTGAGGCGGATAGTACAAGAGTAGAAGTTGGAGCAAACGAGTCAGCTAAACCTGGAGAACTTGATGGCTTGAGTGGAGAAGACGTACCTGGTGCAGAAACAGAAAGAGATGGAGCAGTAAGACATTGTCCACAGTCAAGTCAACAAATGTCTCTTTATATCGATACCAAGACTGAAACACAAGCAGGGATGGCTAATCTCCTCACGCACAGTGCGGAGAGTTCAGAAATGGCTGACACGACCCAACCAGGAATGGACTCGCAACCAGCCATTAGTAATTCTTGTTCGGGTCCATCCACATATCGTTCTTCACCTAGACCTGACAAAACAAGAATATCGGCACGGTCTGCTAGCCTAGAGTCGGCACTTTCAAGTCCATGTAGTACGACAGAACTAATTCAGACAGAGACGCAACCTGTTGTAGCTACTGCCGTGGCTCTGAGCAGTGTGGACAATGCTAGTGCTGCTCAAGAACGTGAATCTAGAGTTTTTATGCAGGCTCAAACACTGAAACCCCAATTCCGGAATAGAAGTGCTGGAAATCCAGGGTCTTCACAACACATTCAGAGCCAGAATGAAAGGAGACATGAGAACACTTTGCCCAATGCAAGAAACATGCAAAGTAAGCGTACCAAAACTCTTTCGCAAACATCAAGGGAAGAAAATGAAGATCGCTTTGAAGTGAAATTGGAGGCCATTGTGATTTCTGATGAAGAGTCTGATGATGTAGATGAGACAGTGGTAATGGATGACGGCCCAAGTAGAAATGCAGATTTAGATCATGGGGATGATTTTGATGACAGTAATCATGATGTCGAGGAGCTGACTGATACTCAATTTATTCCTGCACACCCATTAATTCATCTGCCACATCAAGAACCCCTTTCTTTCCCTTCCTCACCGCAAGGTCCTAATCCTTCTACAGCAGAAACCACCAGCTTTTCATCATCTCTTTTTCCAGCCAATTCCCAGCCGGAGCAGCAGGCCATGTACCTTGAGGATTTTCATGACTCGCTTGGGAGTTACGTAGAGGACGTGCCTACTTGTAACACTTGCGGAAAGACGTTTTCCTGTGCTTACACCCTGAGGAGACACGCCATTGTGCACACTAGGGAGCGACCTTATGAGTGCAGCTACTGTTTCCGCAGTTACACGCAGTCTGGAGACTTGTACAGGCACATCAGAAAGACACATGATCACGGCTTACCAGTCAAACGCAGCAGAGTCGAGTCAGACCCCCCTCCTCATCCTCCCCAGACCTAGCCATCATTTGTGGCTCAATCCTTTTAACAGGTCCTTCAGAAACTTGTATGAAGTACTGCTGAAGGCTTTTGAAAATGGCACAAAATCATGAATTGCCACGTCTATACTTTTGTGGCAAATGCTTTGAAAGGGAATCTTTCTGCCATGCCATTTACAAACACAACCAATGTAACTGAAAAAAGTTTTTTTTTTGGTGGTAATTCAATATTGTTGAGATTTGTACTGTTACACAAACTGGTTTTAAAATTCACTGCTAAAAGTATTTTGTTTTTATATAAAGATTGGCAGAGTAAGTAAATTTGAATGTCTCTTATGGAATATTGTAGCTGTTATACCAAGAAATGAGCATTGAGATCCATTAGAGCAGATAAATGACTATATCACCACAAGGAAGAGTTTTGCTGTGTATGTGTTTTGTGCAGTTTTGTGAGTCTGAAAGATGGTAAGACTTTAAAATAGGTGCTATGAATTAAGTCAGCTTTCAGTGCTTTTGAGAACGGTCCATTTATTTGTTGTAAAATGTTTAGAGAACTTAAACACTACTTTCCAAAAGTTTGGGGTCAGTAAGATTTTTTTATTATTATTAAATTACTATTTTTATTCAGCAAGGACACAATAAGTTGATTAAAAGTAACAGGAGACATTTATAATTTAAAGATTTCTGTGTCAAATAAATGCTTTATTCTTCAAAGAATTCTGAAAAACGTATCATGGTTTCAATAATATTAGAGAGCACAGCTGTTTTCAACATTTATGATAATAGTTTATTGAGCAAATCAGCATATTAAAGCTAGTTTAACATGCTGATATTAGGATGATTTCTGAAGAATCGTGTGAAACTGAAGGCTGGAGTAATAATGGCTGCTGAAAATTCAGCTTTTGCCATCACAGAAATAATTACATTTTAAAATATATTCAAATAAACCGTTATTGTACATTTCGATAATAATACACAATATTTCTGTTTTACTGTATTTTTGATCAAATAAATGCAGCCTTTGTGAGCATAAGAGACTTCTTTCAAAAATATACAAACCCCAAACGTTTGAAAGGTAATGTACATCAGATCAAAACCTACCAGTTACTGTTAAATAATGGCCAAATGTCTAAATTAAAAGTCTGCACAAGGTAAAACAATAAAACAAGACTTTTAATAGTTAGTAATGTTGCACTGTGATATTCTTCAACATATGTTTGGTAAAATGGTGGTTAATACCACAACACAGTAAGTTACTTATTCTGTCTTCCAACAAAGATTCATTTTCACATTTGTTTAACTGTAACAATGTACTCCACAATAAAACAATGTCCATTATCAGTCGTCCACTGGTCCATGCATCTGCAGAAAGAGGTATTGATTTAGAAGTTAATTAATGCTAAGTGAATTGAGACAGATGTTTTTTAGAGCACATGATTCTAATGTGATTAATAGTCATCAAAAGGTACTCACTGCCTCTGCTAGCTCAGGCCATGCCATCGCCATCACAACTCCATCATCAGATGTGGGAGGAGTCTCCAAATTCCAGTATGTGAAATGATGGAACACCGAAGAAACATTCACTACTCTGTCCTAAAAACAAATGACAGAAAAAAAAGTTTAAGAACTAGTGTTTTAAAAAGCATTATCTGTTATTTAGAAATTCATGATATCAGTGAATTCAAAAGTAAGGCACAGTGCAGGTACCTCTTGATCAGATGCAGGCTTCTGGACCTCTTTTAGCACTAGCCCCGTGTATCCTTGTGGGCAATGCAATTCCTGACCCTTCAGCCCCCGACCTCTGAATGACACTGTCGTTTCTGCACAACACAATGTTATGTTTATCGGGTGGAGCGCTTCAACTCGTTTCATTCTCGAGGTGTGTACTTGTTTGACTAACCGTGTTTGCGTTCCTTCACAGTGGGATTAAAGAACTTGAAAACTTCAGCAGGTCCGTTATGCTCTATTTCACAAGGTAACAAGTGGATCTGTGGTTTGTCAGCTTGCTTGAGGGAATCAAGCCGGATAGCTGTCACGCAACTGTTCGCTGACATCTAGTGAAACAAAATGTGTAAAGCACATTTGACAATTACTAACAGTGTCATTTCATTCATATATTTGACCCTGGACCACAAAAGCAGTCATAAGTAGCACTGGTATATTTGTAGCAATAACCAACAATATTGGTCAAAATGATCGATTTTTATTTTATGCCAAAAATCATTAGGATATTAGGTAAAGATCATGTTCCATGAAGATATTTTGTAAATTTCCTACCATAAATATATCAAAACCTAATTTCTGATTAGAAATATGCATTGCTAAGAACTTCTTTTGGACAATATTAAAGGCGATTTTCTCAATATTTTGATTTTTTTTGCACCTTCAGATTCCAGATTTTCAAATAGTTGTATCTCGGCCAAATAATGTCTTTAACCATACATCAATGGAAAGCTTATTTCAGTTTTCAGGCGTTGTATAAATCTCAATTTAAAAAAAAATAGGCCCTTATGACTGGTTTTGTGGTCCAGGGAAACCAGGGCACAACTTTCCACTGACTTAGTGCCTCGCTATAGGGTTGCCATTAATATTTTAACTCTTTTTTTAAAGTAAAAAATTACAAAATGACATTACATTAAATGGCAGTGTAAGGCAGATTATCTATTAAAACATTAATGTATACAATTTTATTATTAATAGAACAGTTGTCAAGTGAAGTTGAATTAAAGACGTGTCTTCTACAATAAACTGTACACTTTTTCCAGTTGATATAAGGATCGCAGAAAAAGCAGTTTATATCAATGTTATCAGAACTGAACCTCTGTAAACTTGTAAAAGAGTACGGTAAAGCGGAGATGTAATTTTCTAACAGATATCTTACCTTGCTTGTTTTCGGTTCTGTTTATAAAGTGTCACGTGGGACAGCTGCGTTTACTGTGATTGGGCGCTCTGTATTTCTTCGCTACCACGCGGATGTTTTTCGCGGTAAAATCCAAAGCATTCTGCCATCTACCGTTCGCTGGTGTCGTCGGATGATGACTCGAAAAAATACAGTATTTTTTACTTTATTGTTATTATTATTAGTAGTATTATAATTTCAACTTATATAAAAAATAACAGACACACACAGAACTTTATAATTACGTCTGTTATATTTCTTTTATGATTACAGCAGCACTGTTTCCTGTTTCCAGGCGCTCTACGAGTGCAACACTGATATTATTCCTACAGGAGTTTGGAACTGACTAGGAACGATATTACTCGAATGCGACGGTGTCTCGTTCGTTCATGTCAATTGGGTTTTGATGGACTCCCATATTAGTTTGTTTAGACAATTAATATATTTTGATTACTTTTCTAACACCTCCTGTGGAAAATGGTTGTAATTCCGTGTTTAAAAGTGCCGCAGCGTTACGCACAAATGTACAGGTAGGATACATACAAATAGTTGCTCTCCGAATCTCTGTGGCATAATTTCCTTTATGCAAAATTAAGTTTAATTTATATAAGCAATCTGTTGATATCGGTTCTTGTTTTTTGAACAGTTTAACTTTTTATTCCTTTTGCATTTGCAATCAAAAATATATCACACACTAAACAGATTAAAAGTGTTAGTTGGCCAGTTATTAAATCTTTTAAAAGCTTTTTTTGAGTGTTAATGATTTATAATTATCAACATACGGTATATCTTTATGTTAATACTGAAATATTCCATGAAACGTGGGTAAAAATAAGTAAGGAAGTCGCTGTCATGTTAAAACCAGTTAACTTGAATGGTTTTACATGTTTCTGTATTTAGAAACCTGGTGTATTACTATGTATAACTGTTTTTCAGAAAATACCTACTGTCACAAGGTGTTCTGGACCGCAAGTACTGTGCACAGAAACACCCAGATGGGACTGTAACCCTTCCAGTCATAGCATCTTTTCTGGCACAGCTTGATCTAGTGGCACTAACAAAAGATGTCGCACAGGACAGCTTTTGTGAAATTGTTGATATCCAGGTAAGCATTCACAATTATTTAAGATATATGTTTGCACCCAATTCACTGAACATCTGAGCGTCCGTATATCTGCTTATTTTTTTAGGCTCCCCCATTATCAAAGAAGGAAAAATTTAAATCTTCTTATAAGAGGCTTCTAGAGACTGCACAGTCTTTGCTGGTTTCTAAAGGAGAAAAATGGAGTGAAGATCTAGAGAGAGACATTCCTAGCCAATGGCAATGCCATGGAGATCTTGTCCTGTTTAGCGAAGGTTCCTTTTCTAATGCAATATGGAAAGAAATTGGTGGGTGATAATGAATCTCAGACCCTCTGTACATCCAGGCTTGCATATAAAATAATTAGATTATATATTCTGTATTAATATTTTTTTCCAGAGTAATATCTCATAGTAATTAGCTTAAATGTCTTCAATATATTCTTGAATATATTTATTTGTTTTAGGATCTGAATTCTGGACTGCAGTTGCCCTGACGCTGGGAGGGAAACGTATAGCACAAATTAAAAAAATCTCCCAGGATGGTTATCGTACACCTACAGTGACTATGCTTTTAGGAGACAGCAGCTATGTAACACACATTGATAACCACATTAGGTAACCAATAAGATGCTGTGTTATTTGAAAAAAAAAAAAAATCTCAGCATATTAAATAAATATTCAAATTAATCAATCTGTCTGACTAAAATTTAGGTATGAGTTTGATGTCACCAAGTGCATGTTCTCTTCTGGGAATATCACAGAGAAGCTCAGAATAGCCTCCTTTGACTGCAGTGGAGAGACTGTGGTTGACTTGTATGCAGGTAAAAGCAATGCTGTGTGTGCCATTGGAATGGGTTGGAATGGTTTTTAATCACCCAAGATGTATGATCAGATTTTGCCCCACTGTCCAGGGATTGGCTACTTCACTCTTCCATATCTTGTACATGCTAAGGCTGCTCATGTGCATGCATGTGAATGGAACCCAGATGCAGTAAAAGCTCTACAGAGAAACCTGCAGGTCAACGGTGTGTCAGACCGCTGCACTGTCCATCCAGGAGACAACAGCCAGGTCAGGATAACAGCTTGTACACTGAGATACAAAAGTGCTGATTGACATTATCTTAAGTTCACTTACTAATATTTTAGAAAAAACAAAACAAAAACAGTTTTGTTGTGGAGGAGAATCAGTTCATTGGGTAAGAGACAATATATAATAATGTATAATAATTTTCTCATTATGTGAACATGTCCAAATCAGGGGTTCTCTAGGTCTTTGCTCTTCCACAAATGAAAGCCTTAAAACACAGCCATAAATAAAAGCAAAAATCTTAAATTCATGGCATTAAATGTTGCATATACTGCAAAAAATAAATATCTTCCTCAGTATTTTTTACCAGTTCAAACATCTAAACATCCTTAAATCAAGAAACATTTACTTGAGTTGCAAAATGAAGATATGAAGTCTTGTTTTCTGTGCAACTGAACAAAATTAAGTGAGGTTATGCTTAAAACATCTGTCAGTGGGGTCAAAAAATGTGTTTTCCCTATGAATACCAGTTGATTTTTCTGACCCCATTGGCAGATAGTTGTTCTTGATTTAATCATGAACACACTTATGTAATTTTGCTATTTGCACATCTGGTCAGTTGAATTAATACACTTTTGGACATCCTTTTTAGCTTCCATTGTGTGATCTTTCTGATCGAGTGAATTTGGGCCTCATACCAAGTTCGGAGGAAGGATGGCCAGTGGCATGTCGTCTGCTAAAGAGAGACACTGGTGGAATGCTGCATATTCATCAAAATGTCACAACACCTTTGCATCATGAACCACTTGAACATTCTTCTGCTATCGATGTTGAAAAAGGCTCTTCTATGGAAGAATCTTCTCTGAGGATCCAGAGAGATATGCAAGCATGGACTGCCTGGGCTTCAGAAACAGCCAGACGCATCTGTACACTTTTGTCAGACATCACTGGAAGCAAATGGAAGACAAATATCAAGCACATAGAGCATGTTAAGACATACGCACCACATATCAGTCATGTAGTTCTGGATTTGGAGTGTAAACCTCTCTGATAAACACATTCAATCATGTATAAAGTTTTTAATTCTAATCTTTATAATCAGCTATAATTAGTTTTACCCTTTTCTTTGGGTGTATGTGTTTGAGATGCAAAATTTAGCAGTATTTTGTAGTTATTTTAAATAAAAATAAAAAAATCTGGCTGTGATGTGGATTATTGTTCACTTATGAACACTGTCCACTTATGTACTGTATGGTTGTCGTGTTCGAAACGCAGTGAAGATTATTTCATTTTATCTCTAACAGATAAAGAGCAACACCAATTATTAAGTGGCCGTCAATATTTATTTTATTTACAGGTATATGGAATTTCCCTAATATTAATTAATTGTTGTATTATATACAATACCATTCAGACATTTATTTAAATGTTTTTTTTGAAGTATTTTATGATTATCAATTCTGAACTGATTTGATCAAAATACTGTTAAATGTGCTCATTTGGTGCTAAAGAACATTACTTTTCAATGTTGAAAGCAGGCGTGCTTCTTAATTTTGCTGTGGAAACAGAGGGATCCTTTGATAAACAGAAAGTTCAAAAGAACAGCATTTATACAGCACAGGAATCTGTGACATTAGAAATGTTTTTACTGTCACTTTTGGTTAGCTCCATGCATCCTTGCTGAATAAAACTAGTAATATATTTAAAAGAAGAAAAATTCTAACCACAAACAGTGTAAAAGAAAATATTTTTCTATCCTATGGCCATTATGACCAAATTTATAATTACATCACTTCCACCCAGAACTAAATAACTACTATTAAAGGGGTCATATGATGCGATTTCATTTTTTCCTTTCTCTTTAGAGTGTTACAAGCCTTCATGATTTTTTTTTAATCCAAAAGAGATTTGCTTATATACAAAAAGTTTCTTTGTCATTACTCCAGCGCTTAAAATGTTCCAGTACATATTTCACAACATTAACTTTACGCATTATTTTATACAAAAACGTCTATTATTATATTATTGACATTTCATTTTTTTCAGCTGTTCTCTAAGCTTCACATCAATTTAAATCTTAAAACACAGGACTAAAAAGCAATACGTGATTCTGTCCACTGACCTCCTCCTTCCACGGAGGAAACGCTGACGTCTGCGCGCGCACCTGTTGCACGGTGATCCAGCGCTGACTGAAAAGTTTGCGTTTGTTCCGGAACGACGTTTATTTGGCAAAGCTGGAAGTCATTGAGCTCGCAGGGAGAAAAACAGTGTGGGAAAATCCTGCGCTATTGGTAAGAAAACATTTAAAGCACATTTGAAGAAATTTTGTTAAGATGTTAGGCATCTATTTTAAATACGACAAACTGTACTAACACTGTTTAGATTCTACTTTAGAATAAAATGCTTCCCTAAGAGACACAACGAGTCGAGAGAGTGTCTAAGTTGTTGTCATTATGCCTCTATGTATTCACTCTTCTTTTAAGATCTTGAAGTGCGCTAACATTTGTATTCTATTTTCCTTTACGCGCTAACTGTTATTTTGCGTTTTATTTTCCTATACGTTAACTGTTACTTTTCTGTTTAATATTGGACTCTTTTATGTGTAATGTTGGATAATTTAGTTAAGTCAATTTGACGTTGTTGTCCAAGTGTTAGAGCAGGACAGATCCTTCAGATCTATATCAGTAGGTTATAACTTACAATCCTTTCTATTTTCCTGAAACATTCAATGAATGAGGAACAAGTTTGTTAAGAAGGTCTATTTATTTTGGATATTGACCAAACCAGTCTTAATTGAAGGTTATTTAATTTTTTTTCTTTTCTCACACGTTTTTTTCCACCAGTTGAGCTCAAAGGGCTTTCACAAGGCTTATGGGTGCTAGCTACCAAGTAATAATCATCATAAATGCCTCATTAAAAAATGTAGGTTTGCTGAAGACCTCCACCCATGGTTGTGTGTCCATAAAGGGCGGCAACTCCTGTGATACGCTGACTGCATGTTGTTTTCCTCTTTTCCTGATGACATTCCAGTGCTCAGCCCCTTTTCCCAGGCTCTTAGTTATTTATTCTCAAACAACATACATTTTATTGATCTGCTGTCCATAATTTTACCAGTGACTAATCAAAACAAGGTTCTCATGCTCTCTGGTCAGAATATTATTTTCGTTCTTTTCAGTAAGAACATGATGAGAAGCTGTCTCGTTTAGAAGTAGCCTACCTATATTTTTGCAAAATACGTACATTTGCTTGGATTGATTTATTAAATGATTTACTAATGCTAATATGCTTATACTTGATTTATGTGGTAGATGCTGGGATGTGAATATCTCCACTTCCCTGCTGCGATATTGGCATTGCGAGCCATCGGTAACCAACTAATTTGCATGTGGAGCTGCATGTCACAGGGTGTCCTTGTGTTTGTCTAATTACTGTTGAAGAGCCTCTGACATACTGACACTGACAGACACTGCGTGGAGGAACTGTGAAAGGTCACTCCCTTTCTTTGTCAATTCTGTCCTGTCTCCAGGTCTCTACCCTTTTTACAAAAAGTAGGACTTCCTTTATTTGTGTAACACTCTCATTATATAGGCCTATGTTGGACTTGTCTCTGAAAAGCAAATTACATATTCTTGGTTAGGTGCTTGTATATTCATTATTATCGGTAAGCAACACTGGTATGTTACTCGGTAAGCGGTTGTATGTGGTTCTACGAGTTTCTGTAATTCGCATTTGTGTTGACATTTAAAGGGGTAATTTGACATTGCTAAAAATAACATTATAACTTTTTATATTTGGTGTAATGCAATGTGTTTATGCGGTTTAAGGTAAAAAAAAAAGTTCGTAGTCACGGGAAGAAGGAGGCGGGAACCGGCGAACATTTAAACAGAACTTTAATTATAAAATAAACACAAAGTAGCGCGACAGCCCGCACAAACAGAACCAAAACACAAAATAAAATCCAGGCCTGGTCGTCTCTCGTCCAACACTGTCGTCACTCCTCCTTTTATCCTTCCGGAGCTCCTCCGTGGGACTCGAGACCGGTGAGTGGCGCAGGTGTTGCGCATTAGCATTTACTCCACCGGCCTCGCTCTGTTCCCACGGCTCTCGGCCCGCCCCTCTCGTCGCAGAGGATTTTTATTGCATCCAGTGGGGACATAATTACTGATTATAATGACTTCTACTGTCTTTTTACGCGTTTCGTTGCGTATCGCGCTGCGTAAACATAAAACCATGTCTGCATTTGTGATCGGAGAAACGACAAACAGCAAGCGCTACTCTACACTGCTCAAAACTCACGTTTGAATCCAGATCTTCTTTATGCCAAGCGCTTGTAACACTTCAAAGAGAAAGGAAAAATTGAAATCGCATCATATGACCCCTTTGATATTTTGTTGACTTAATGCATCCAGAGCCATTTGTTTGTTTTTTATTCCTTAGAAGCAGGACTTGACTCCCAAGGATGATGCAGAACATGGAGATCAACGTGTCCTTCCTGACTGAGTCTGAGCAAGAATTCATACTAGAAGTCCTTCGGCGAGATGAGGAGCTGAGGCGCTTGGAGGAGCTCCGTGTTAAGTGAGTGTCACGGTTGCGTCATTGAGAATAAGTCTTGTTCTAGAAATGCAGAATTAAATAAAATTATTCATATGTAATTTATATGATTTTAAAATAGCAATAAACAATTTCTCTGGTCTCAAAATAGCCATAGTGACTAATTAATTTAAATAATTAATAAAAAAAACATTTAAAAATTGTATTTAGCTTAATTTATGCAAACTTGTTACCTGTTGTGTTTTTTTAAGTGTACATTAAACATCACATTACGTTCTTTTATTTTTTTTTAAAATGCAGTAGTACCGTTCAAAATTTTGGGTCAGTAAGAACTCTGAAAACGTTTATTATGGTTTCTACAAGAAATATTAAGCAGAAACCATTTACAACATTAACAATAAGAAGAAATAATAGTATGATTAGCATATTAGTATGATTTTTGAAGGATCACGTGACACTGAAGACTGGAGTAATGGCTGATGAAAATTCAGCTTCACAGGAATAAATTGCATTTTAAAGCATATTAAAATAGAAAACAGTTATTTTAAATCATAATAATATTTCACAATATTGCTGTTTTAACTGTATTTTTTTATTATTATTAAATAAATGCAGCCTTGGTTAGAGACTTCTTAAAAAACCTTAATTTAAAAAAATCTTACTGACCCCATACTTTTTAATTTGAAGAATGTAGTTTATTTAATGTTTATGTTTGTTTAAAGGGGTCATATGATGCGATTTCAATTTTTCCTTTTTCTTTGGAGTGTTACAAGCTCTTGGTGCATAAAGAAGATGTTCACACCACAAACCATAAGCTATGAAGATAGCTATAAGGATCACTATATTAGCCATTTTGAACACAAATTAAGATATTTTTGATGGAATCTGAGAGCTGTCTGACCCTGCATAGA